AAAAAAAAAACCTAATTCCACACATGGTTTTATGAAGGAATCTCATTTCCTGCATGGATCAGTCACAATATGGGAACATGTGGCTGGGTTTTCACCTCACAGACTGTTTCTGTCATGACAGGCAGCAATTTCAGGTGTGGAGCTCCCCCACAGTCCTTGTAAAATGCATGAGGAAGGTTTTATTTTGAAGTGCTTGTATGAAGTGCATTAGCATGGAGTTCAGTGTTGCTTTATTAACTATTCCAAAAACAGTCTGTAGACTGTGACTCAAGTAATAATTAGTGCTATTACATAACAGCTTAGACTTCTGCAGTACCTCTCCTCTGAGAAGCTGATGGCCAAAGGGTTTTCCTCATCTGAATGACACATTTTTGAAAATCAACAGTGAGTGTCAAGGCAATCACCAGGCGAGGATACAGTAATTTGAAAGGTATGCAATAAGGATTGCTTCTTTCCTTCGCCATGCACAACTTCAAGCACAGGAGCTTTCAAACACGCACTGCAAGACCAGCTAACTCTTGTTGTTTCTTGTTTTATTTGACTACTATGAGAGTACTGGACTGAAGCCAAAGAATTCAGCCTCAGCACAAGCAGCGCTTTTCAGCACTGAGCCTGGGGCAACCCTCCAGCTCTGAAATTGTGTTTGGACCCTCATGTCTGGGAGGAAGGGAAAGTCATCACCCTGCAACAGAGGCATCTTACTCTGCCCTTTGTGACCTCTGAGATGAGCTGCTGGGGAAGCTGGCAGGGCAGCTCTGCCCTGCAGCCTCACCCTCTGCTGGGGACATGGGAAGGATGGGCAGCCACAGGGGCACTGAGGCTGATACTTTGCTGTCTGTTTCAAGCATATCATTGAGCTTGTTGAGCCCTTAAAGGGCTTATTCACTAGTATATACCTTACTTAGGCTTTTGCCTTGGCTTTTGTTTATTTGGACTGGCTTTTGAAGTATTACATTTCTGTTAAACTGCTTCCTAGTCTTTGGAAGTATTGCAAGGAAGAATGCAGAATCCCATTAGCTGAAAAAATCAATGCATTTTCCAACAGAAAAATAAATACTTCTGAATATTTAAGCAGAGTGGTATGAGACATTAATACTTGCTTTACACTAGCAATAGCATTTTATAAATAAAATTAGATCAAAGAACTATATGTTAATCAAATAAGAATATCTCTGCTTGGAGGTAGTGTCTCTTTGGATAAACACTGTGCCTGTCTGACATTTGGGGGTCTCTGGGATATTTATTACTGAAAAGACAGCAGCAGAATGACTGACGTGCTGTCTTGGCAAGCTGGAGTAGGAATGGGAGCCATCCCTTCCCTGCTGTGCAGGCTCTCTCCACTCACACCTGTGAAGCAATCTTCCTTCTCCACTTTGCACAGTAAGGCAGAGAGGAGACTGGTCAGTCCCACTCCCTRGCTGCCCAGCCCTTTTTGGGAGTGCAGATGGTAGTGGTGCCATGTCTTTGGTCTTGAGTTTGAAGTCTGCTTAGAGTCTCAGAGAAGACCATGCAGCCATACCTGGAGCAAAAAGCAGCATGTACAGCACTTGCAGGTGCTGTCAATGGTAATAACAGGTAATGGAGGCTTCCAGTCTATGGTATTCATTTAAAATTTCTAGTACCTGGAATTATATGTCTCCATTTTATGGCACTGCACAAGTCCCACATTAATGAGGAATAAAATTCATAAGGTGTAATGAGAATAGATTGCATTGCAGTAAAACCCTGCCCTAAGGGGGTTTGCATGRAGCAAAATTTTTATGAATAATTGTGAAAAAGAACTGTCCTTCCCCCTCTCACGTTTAGGTAGCTGCCGTGTCCTTTGTGAGCAGGCAGATCCCAGGCAATGCCACCTCATGGCCCTGTCCTGGAGGGCAGCTCTGAGGCTGAGAGTGGAGGAGAGCTCCTTTGTGTCATGGCATGTCCTGACATTTGTTGGCCTCAGGGCTGGAGAACAGGACACAGACAACAATGTCACCGGAGGTAAATGTACAGGTGGAGTTTAGGAAGGTAAAGATAGCCCATGGGTTGGGATGGTTTTGAGGCCCTTCTGCCTGCAGCTTGCAGCCACTCCAACAGTGCTGTCATCTGCCAGGCCCCCAGCCAGGCACTGGTCTCATGGGAAGGGGTATGCAGGTGGCAGAATCATTCCTGAGCTGTGATTCTTAGAAACCACTCATTTCATGTGATTATTAGAAATCAGGACACATTAAGGGTGTATTAATCCAAAATACTGGTATTTTAAAATATAACGAAAAATTATTTGACTAGGAGGGCATTTTCAGTATATTTTCACTCAGATTTGCTGCCCACCTGCTGATAAAAATGGCAGTGTTCTGTTTCCATATGATTAATCAAAGAAATAGCACCTTCTGCTACTTCTCAGGGGTTGATATGTGAGGACTGAATGAAAACACATGCCCCTCTGTCAATTGAAAAAAAACAGCAACCACCAAAAAAAAGGTGTTATGGTGAGGAACCTGAATAACAGAGATCCCCTTTCCATCTTCCAGGCTGTGACCAGTTCTTGGTAGCATTACTGCTAGGGAGTCTTGGGTTTTGTTTGCTGCTGAGTGACTGCTGCTAGGTGTTGTTGAACTTTTTTTTCATCCCAAGGGCTTCACTTGTTCCAGTGCTCGTTGTACCACGTGGTTTTGGAGATTCAGACAGCTCTTCGGTAAACGGACTTTTTCATGGCAAACAGGGGTATAATTTTTAGAAAAGTAGTGAGGGCACCATCTCCAGAGATGAGTCAGCTGCTGGGTAGTGTAGAGCAGAGGAGGAAAAGGTTTTAGGCAGCCCTGATTACTCTAAAACASGCATTCCTGAGCGTCTTCAACTATTTATTATTTCCTTTCTGAAACGCCCCGGTGCAGCCCGTCCGTGTTGGGTAAACTTCGGCCAGCTGCGGGGCTGGGGCAGGCTGGGGCTGCGACAGGCTGTGCGGAGCTGGGGTACGAGGTGTTTGCGGGGCTGGAGCAGGCTGTGTGTGCGAGGCTGGGACAGGCTGCGTGTGCCGGACCGGGACAGGCTCTGCGGCTGGGGCAGGCTGGCTGACCCGCTCCGCAGGCTGACTTCCACAGGCTGCCCTGGGAGCGATTGGTCCGTGCGGATCATGTGGGAGATGCCGGAATCCCGAGTTGTAGTAGCTCTTGGCACTCCTTTTTCGTTGCAAGCGCTCGCTCCGTGCAGCTCCYTGGGGCTCAGAGCCTCCCGGCTTCCCTTGCTCCGATCGCGATCTGAGCAGCGCCGCGGGACGGCCGGGGCGAGCCGAGGGCAGCGATGTTGAAGCCGGTGCCCCGGGCGGCGGGCACCGCCTGTTTCTACCTGAACGCCGTGTCTCCCGAGGGCCAGGAGCTCTTCTGGCGCTGCGATCCGCCCGCCCGGCGCCCTCCCTACAGGACCAGCAGGATTCTCGCCCGTCACCAGCTGGTGACGAAAATTCAGCAAGGTGAGTAGCTGGCAGCAGCGTTGGCGCAGGGGCTGCAGGTCTGCTCTTTCGTAAGAGAACAGGTTTTGGTGCCTCGCGTTTCGGGCTCTTTCCTGTCGCTATTCCAGATTAACCTGGCTACAGACAGGGTTTGAAATGGTCATTCATACCTCTCTGTTTCCACACATGCACCGACAACCAGGAGATGAACACTGGTGCACGATTAGCTATTTAACTAAATTGCCTTTTAATCATAAACTACTGTAGTATCTTAGGTGCTGAACTTCGTCTTTTCTGACTGTCTGAGCAGTTGCTGGCACCAGTCCATCTGCTGAAATTGCTGCAGGTCAGACCTGCCCCTGGTAGCCCTCAAAGGGAGAATAGGTGGTCACCCTACTAAAAAAGAAGCAGAAGTCCAGTGCAACTGGAAGAAGGCGACTGGACTGACATCCTTTGGAAACAAGTGTGTGTAACTCAGAGGACTGAAAACCTCGGCACATATCCTTAAAAATAATTGCTAATTTGCCTTTCTGCAGCTGCTTAAACAGTTGTYTAAGTAGTCATTACAAATATATAGATTTGTTTTTGGTTTTTTTTTTCTGAGTGTCTGTCTTTGACACTAAAGCTAAATGCAGACTGGCCTCAGAACAAATGCTTTGGCCTGTGCATGCAGTTTAAAATCATCTTCAGAATGGTTAATGCAAAGATAAAAACCCTAACCAACTGTACTGATTTTTCCAGATTAAAAAGCAAATCAATACATAGTTTTGTATTGATCATAGTTTGTATGGAATCCCGTTTTCAAGAACACCAGTTTCCAAAGCAGATGTGGTCCTACGTGCAGATAAATGTCATGTTGAAAAAAAGAAAATTCATCATGACAACAGTCACTTTCTTGACAGCTTGCAAAAAGGTGTTTGAGTCTGCTCACTAGAGGCAGGGATAGAGATAATGTCATTTACTGTCATGTCTGGCAAATATCACAGAAACTGGTGTGAKGTTTTGACCAGCAGCAAATAAATGGAGAGGCTATTTCTATGCCTTTCCTTCCAGYAGGATTCTTTATATCTGTGGCTGTCAAACTCTGGCAGAAGTACAGAATATAGTGATGAAATTTTATTGCCTTTATAAAGAAAACAATGCATAATTCTTTGGCCAGGTTTAAAAAGATGGAAAAGATAGTTTCTGTGGCAATTGGGAAAATGTGGTTGTTTGCAAGGCAGTCTCAGGAACTGGTTGAAGGATACTGGACCTCACTGCAGCTCTGATTTCAGGAAGGATATTATGTCATTCTGTGTACCCAGTGTATGGCCTGGATTGAATGGAAAGAAAGAGTAATTTATTTCTCTACAGGTTTATTTGAAAATGTTTTGGGTGCAGTTCTAGTACCAATTTAGTGTTCAAACAACATTGACTGAGAATATGGTGGATTAACACACCTCTTCTTCTTGTCGTGGYGCTATTTAACATTCCCTCTTGTAACCTGTAATCTGTCCAGGGCAGCGAGGACTGCCAAAGCCAGTCAGTGGTGCTAAGACTTTGGAGAGGCTGCATGGTGAGGAATTTCAAAGTTGTAACATTTCCTCCTGCAGCTTGTTGCATAGATGGTTAGTCTGTGGTGAATGACGTCTGTTCCTCTTTCACAGTTTTCCGACATGTTCTTGCACAGAGCTGTGGAAATTATATTTGCATAGTGCCTTGATGATGTGATGTGTGTTAACATTCAGCATGTGAAATATTTCTGTATTTTGGATCACTAAGAACACCTTCATGCTTCCTTCTCTTATTGATGGTAAGCTGGTGACAGGATCCAGTGTTGGTCAAGTGTCAGTTCATTAGCAATAAGGAAATCATGCCTGCAGATAGATGCTAATGTCTGTCTGTAAGCCTGTATGTAAGCAGACACACATTTAGTACAAAAACAAGGCACACATTTTTTCTACAGTGCCCCAAGTAATGACTAATTTTGATACGAATAGTTGTGTTAGCAATACYAAATAATCTAAACCTAGCTACTATGGCTCAATTTGAAACCTCCAGTTTGCACTCTGGATAAAAAACCTAGATCTCCATCAAAATCCCTCACAAGGCTGTCACCAAGTTCTGCTTGAGTCTGCATGTTACCCTCTGCACTTGCCGTGTTCAAACTGTAAGCAGTGTGAGGGTACTGGATCAGTCCCTCTCCCTGTCCCAGAGAGTGGGAAGAGTACTGTAATATGGGTGTAGGTCTCAATCTGTGCTATCAGAGGTGAATGAGTTTTACCCCATTAACAAATGGGATTCATAACTAGCTGAGTGCCACTTAAGATAAACTTATCCATAATATATTGAAAAGTAGATCGGGAGATGCAAGATGAGAACAAAAACTTGCTTTGAGTCATCCAGTTGAGTAAAGCATGTAAATAATTATTTAGTTTCTTGAACTTGTGTATCTTTGAATCATACATTTTAAGGCCATTAAGACAATGTATTTGAACATAGCTACCCCAATTCTTATGTTAGCACATTTCCAACGTAATAATTTGAATTATAGCATATGTTTAGAAAAAGATCCAGCCTGCATTTTAAGATTGCTGGAATGGTGAATCCTGCCTGTTTAATTGCTTTGCTGAAAACAGATCTGCCACATGTTTAAGTGCTAGGTTGCCTTGGGGCTTTTTTTGAATACCTGCTCTCTACTTCTTACCCAGTTATTTTTCACTTGCTGGTTTTCACACTGGAGGCACCTAGAGTATGATAGTTATATCAGAGATATTTTTTCTTTAGTGTAAGGAATGTTTTACAAAATCACAGCATATCCAATTGACAACATATAAAGCAGTCAAAGCTTCCCTTCCTGGCCAGTAATGCAGTGTGATATAAAGTCTTGCATATACTGCTGTCCTTTCAGTCATTAGCTACATGTACTGTTCTAAACTATGCTAATTTACTCTATCACATCACAATACAGCTTTTCTTCCTCCTTGAAAAACCCATTTGCTGAATACATTTCCTTTGTATTTTCCTTTGGTGTTAGTTAAAAATAAACTAAATGAGTCATTAGAGGAATTATATTATTTAATCATTTCTAAAAAGAAAATCACCACAAGAGAAATGTCAGGAACCAGACTGTTATTTCAATCAGATCGTACTTTGAAAGTCCTAAATATTTGGTTCTTATTCACCACCAACTCCTTGAGGTAGAATTATGAGGTGGCCTGTGAATGTGACTAGTAATTATCTGTTTGATGTTAAGCAGGTATTTTTAAGGTGTGATATTTTCAATAATTCCCTTCCCCCCATAAACCCGTTAGTTTCCACACTGAGGGGGACACATGCCTCAGCATAAAGGAACAGGGTGTAGCATGCTTGGTCTGAGGTATTTATTCAACTTTTGTATGCAGTAACTGTATGAGAATTCATTGATGATTACTCAYGTTTTCTTTAAATAAATACAGTGGTGACTTTCAAGAATTTATATTACATGAGTCACAAAGTTGTTATTTCTTTCACAGTACATAGATAAACTCAGTGCAGAGCAGAAAATGTAAGMAGTAGCTGTAGGTAAAAGGTAATGAAGAATTGAGGTCATACTCTGAAAAAATTAAATTGAAATCATTGACTGCAGTACGAGTGTAAGTCAAGGTAAATGAAACCACATCTGCCCCAGCGTAGATAGGCTGATAAAAAAATGTTCCCTTTCATCCACAGTAAAATTAGATTGCTAGCCTGCACACTCAGTAAGACAATAACATTGAAGAAACAAATGAAAATAAGACAAATTCCTCTTCTCAGTGAGTAAATTCCTGCCCAGAGTGCGTAATGGCTCTGTGATTTATCTCAGTTAATGTCCACAGGCAAGAACGGTTGAGGAAAATTGTTCGATGGAGCAATATTAAATCAGACTTTCAACTTTTCAAGGCAAACTCTCCACTCAAACTCTGCTCAGCAGATGCTTTATACTCTTATTTGTTGAAAGTTCAATTTTGATCTTTTATGTGTACTATTACCTTTGGATCACCTGGATTTGTCTGGTTTGAGCAAGTTTTAGAAATGCAAACAAATTCACTTTTCTGTCTTATAGTCTTCTCTTTGGAGTTGGTTTAACATGTTTGATTGTTCCGTTTTGCTAAGCATGAGTAGAATTTGTGGAAAGTGTTACAGCGGTATGCAAGTGACTTGCAAAAGTTATTAAATTTAGGTGACTTAAATTTCAACTGTTATTGTATCTTAAGCTATAATATGCTTTCATATTCAAAAGGAGTACAGGCAAGTCATGTAGGTGAAAATGTTGCAGTCAGAGGCTGCATTTAAAAAGCCCAGATCAAATTCCTGGTATGCGCACAGATATGGGATGGGAAATGGGATACAATTAAAAAATTAAGGACTCTGAGTTTGATCAGACATGCAAAGAGGACAATACAGTTGTTCAGGCTGCTTGAACCATAGCATTTCTCATGTCCTGAATGCTGGCCACTTTACCTACACATGTTTAAACCTCACTATCTAAACACAGGAAAGTAAAAGATTAGCCAACATGATTCAGCCTTGCTGGTAATGATGTAAACACCCTCCTATATATCATCTCTGACCAGTGCTGGTGGTCTACTKCCTTTTGAGCCACGAATTCAGGGCAGCAGCACTATGTAGCTCGTTTTCAACCCCCGGTGCCTCCTCTTGTGGAGCCTCTGTGTCTATGCTCCAGCCCAGGCATGCAGGAGAGGACAGAACTGGGACTGGGTTGCCTGGAGCACCAGGAGGAGCAGCCTTAGCTGCTGAGCTGCTTTGCAAGCCTCAGCTGGGACATGGTGCATCCTCCTTTCTACTGTCAGATACATGTGGATAGGTGTGTTCTCACAGCAGAAAGATCTCTGGGTTGGTTGTTTCGTACACTCTCTAAGGTCCCTTAGAAACTGAGAGCCTATGTCACATGAAGCTTCTTCACCATCTTTTCTTCCTTACACACTCTTTCCTCAAGTCCTTAGATCGAGATTTGGAAAAAGTTCTTCAGTTAAATAATAGGATTTCTTTAAAAATACTTT